GGTTCCAGTGTTCTTGAAGGCTGAAGATTACACCTTTTAAGGCTTGAGTAGCTAGGATTTATGCCTGTCTTATGCTTTTGAGAACTGGTCCTTAGCCCATGGCTGACAAAGAGGCAGCTAGCTGATGAGTAATTCTTCCATTTATGCAATGACATTAGTCTCGTCTGGATTCACTCATCCAGTTCAAGGACAAGAAGTGTTTGCAAAGGAAGTCCAAGGGAGATCAATAAAAAAATCTTTTCCAGGAGCAATGCAGAATTGCACTGCAACAGATTTTCTTGTGGAGGTTGTGATCTGCTTCTTCAGAGGATTTTATGAACAGGCTGCACAAATGTCTCTCAGAGGTGATTAAGGTGAAGTCAAAGGGTGAGATCGTAGACTTAAATGACCTCTGAAGAGTCCTCTGAGCTCTCTGCTTTTCATTCTTTGTAGCAGCAGACACCTCTGATGCTTAGATGCCTAGATAATGATGTGGATATAGAGAAAACCAAGCTCCTTTTGTTATTAGTGCTTTGCTTCATTGTTGTCTGATAAAAATACATAAATAGTTCTGGGCGCATGTGTCCCTCTTTTCCACAGAGGACCATAGTCATGAATCCCAGAAGCTGGCCTCTTCCCTTTCTCTTGTTTCACCCCACAAATGTCTCGTGTGCTCTGGGTTGCGCTATAGCTCCACTTTGACAGGAACACAGTGTTCCCATATCAAACACCTTCTTGTCTGGCTGGTAGGAAACTCTCCTGCTTATGGGTTTGACTCCTGTGACTGAGATGGGTCTGGAAGGCAGGTGTGTCAGAGCAGAGCTCCAAAAGTTCTGCTCTGCTCTGAGAACTAGGAACTAGCAAACAATAACCATTTCTGTTTGTGATGTTTACCTGATGGTAGTCTTGATTTGTGGTTGATATTCATGTGTCCTTCACACAGTTTTCCCTTTCCTCCCTCATTTCACAGTGAGAAAACACATTTGTTCTCACTGTACTTGGCCTTGCCAGAGGCTTGTCCTGTTGCTTCTGTCTGAGAATGTAAGTCTCATCATTAGAGTAATGAACCAGTTTTCAAATCCCCTGATTTCTATTTCTGCTTGGTAGCTAATTGCACTATTAGCAAAAGTAACGTAATATAAGCACATGAGTTTTCTTAGCTGAGAAATGGGTAATACCTGACCGGGTGCTGAGGTAGGGCTAATTTCAATTCTTGAAAATCAGAGTATTGAAAAGAAGGCCTCCAACAGAAGTGGTTGTGAGAGGGTGGGATACAGCCAGCTTTCTGCAGTGTTGAGATTGCCAGTGGTTCCTTGCAGCAACCCGCTTGTAGCTTGGACGGCACTTCTGCCCTGAGGTTCTCTTCAGCAAAGCTGGTGGAGGCAAAGTAATGCTTTCTCTTCCCACTGCATGCGACGCATCAGAGCTGCTAATTCTTTCTGCCTGGATGCAGAAAGACTGCTCTATATTCATTCCTTCTTCCCTACATACTCAAACACACACGGCATACACATAAGCAGATATGACATTTGGCTCCTAATTTAAAAGCAGCATGCAAATACATAACATTAATACATAACATTATTACCTATCTCCTTTAAACCAAATCAGTGCTGAGAAAGAAAAACCAGGAAATCATGGAAAGCACACAAATTTTCCACTTGGCTTTAGTTTGGATTTTCAATAAAGGGGCTTTCATGCAGACTGGGACTGGGTTACCAGGAAGGTATTGGAAATACATACACCTTATTCCAGCATGTAGAGCTTGTAAGTGCTTCAGTACAGAGGTGACTTGCTAGTAGTTAGTACTGATTGTGCTCCTAGTAGGGCAGCTGGGATAGCCCAACATATGGTCATATAGCCAAACTCTCTGGCCTTACTGTGCATATCTGTGCTGCCTACTGGGACCAGTTCCTGGCTCATGCATCCTGTGAACCATGTCTAGGAACTGCTTGAAAGAGTTGTAGTTGGCACAGACCACAAGTGCATTGGAGAGTGTGACAAGTACTGTGTGGTAGCTGCCTGCTGGTGTTCAAGACAATGGTCCATCCTGGTTTAGCTCAGTAGTTTAGACAGAGCTATTGCACCCAGACAGGCAGCACACTGCTGGAAGGAGCCTCTGGACACACCTGTAGGCCAGCCAGTGCATTTCTCTCATCTGATTTGAGTTCAGCGATGACTGAACCTGGTCCAGGGCCTGTCTCCAGAGCTGGCTGCAAGGTGCAGGTCTGCAGCACAAGGCATTAGCTAGCAAAGGCTGTAATGCAGAAGGTGGGTCCTGTTGCTGTGTCACAACTTCCCCCCAGTTTCCCACATCCAGCACACGTAGTGGAAGGGCTGGAGAGGAGCTGTGCCACGGCACCACACACCACAGCAGTGCTGCTGAAGCAGGACTGTTGAAAAACATAACCAAAGTGCCTTTGGACCTTCCTCCTTCAGCCCTACTGCATAGAAAATCTATCTGTGCACATGCACATGGGCTCAAAACCACCCAGACCTATACCTGTCTAGAGAGATTTGCAGACAGGCTCGTCAGGGGGAAGGTCAGCTGAGCCAGAGACTCAGAAGGCGCCCTTACTGTTACTGCAGCTGCTTTTGTTGGAGCAACAGGAACTGAAGATATGAGCAGGCTTCTTCCATTGAGTGTGGCTTAGTTTAGGCAGCTGGAGAAAGGCTTTGCACTAACACTGGTGTCTGCAGGCTGTGCTGAACAGCAGTGAGGGTACATAGCATTGGTGTCTCCAAGATGCGGTATGCACTGGAAAGGGAGAGGAAAATTGTGGTTGCTCTGCGAGTCCTCTGCCTTGGTCACTGTGCAAGCAGCTCCCAGGCATAGCACATCCTGCCATGGACTCCAGTTTTAACCAGTAACCAAAATACTACTTCTTGATTCATGCAGTCCAGATGTAACAGAAACATGAAAGTAAATTTCAAGCGCCATACTCCACTTGAGAAAAGTGTAATGACTTGAACTGATTTTCAGCTAGAGCTTGGGTTCAGTGGGACTCATTAGGTTATAAATTACACAACTTGTCAGCAGTCCTCTTCCCTACCAGCTCCACAGCTCACCAGGGCCACTGTTCCAGCCTTCACCCACTCTGCCAGGGAATGGGTTTTTACCTCCTGCAGCGGTTCTGCTTTGCTGCTCCTGCAGTAGATACCACAATCCGAATTTCCCTCCCAGTTTACTACACTGGCATTTCTTAATGAACTCCAGCACTTCTGCATGGTAAACAGAAGTCTCACTGCTGCTCAGGCTCTGCTTAGCTTTTGATACCAAAGTACCAATTACTAGACACCAGTTATTCTAAGTACCATAAGTCAACACATATTTTGCTTCTACAAATAAATAGTGGTTGGTAGAAATAGCCACACCAAGGAGCACAAATAAACACCAGAAATTTTGTTTACAGTAGCACATTTATGTGCAAGTAATTCTTTTTAAATGTGTACTCTTAAATACCACATTTTGTGGTACAATTGGCTTTTCAGCTATTGGAGTTAGCTCCTGTTTCTCATTTCCAAACTTTTGAATGTCCATTTCAGTGCCACTGGACAGTATTTCTTGTGTAGTTTGCTGAGATTTCCCCTAGATGTTGTTAATGGCAGCATTCTTTCTTGGCTGACATAAAAAACGTTGCTGAATTTTTAGGTTGGTTCTAACAGTGTCATTGTCCTGGGTTCAGCTACAGCAGTCATTTTTTCTCCTTCTCAGTAGCTGGTGCAGTGCTGTGTTTTTGACTTTCAGTCTGGGAACAATGCTGATAACACCGATGTTTTTAGTTGTTGCTCAGTAATGTTTACTCTGACCAAGGACTTTCTCAGTCTCATGCTTTGGCAGAAAGGAGGGGAAGCCAGGAGGAAGCAGAGGCAGGACACCTGACCCAAACTGGCCAAAGGGGTATTCCATACCACAGCACGTCATGCCCAGTATATAAACTGGGGGGAGTTACCCGGAAGGCCCAGATCGCTGCTCGGGTCGGGCTGGGTATCGGTCGGCGGGTGGTGAGCGGTTGTGTCCTTTTCCCTTGTTATTCCTCTTATCATTATTATTGGTAGCAGTAGTGGTTTGTATTATACCTTAGTTACTGGAGAGCTGTTATCTCAACCCGTGGGAGTTACATTCCTTCGATTCTCCTCCCCATCCCTCCGGGAGCGGGGGGAGGAAGAAAAAGGGGGGGAGTGAGCGAGCGGCTGCGTGGTTCCAAGTTGCCGGCTGGGCTTAAACCACGACAGTCACTTACACAGAAAACACATTGAGTAAAAGGCTAATATATTACATATTTTGAAAAATTACTTATGCTTTTATCCCATCACTATCCCACTTGCAACTACGTAATCTTTCTGACCAACACAGAAGATAATGAATCCTTATTCTAAGACATTAGGAACTGGTGCTTTTATTAAGCTGACCTTGTTTTGCCAGTTTCAGAAGAATTTTGGTGGACTGCTATAAAATCATTTGGGAAAATACATGTAATCTTTGTGTTTATTGCTTACACACTGTAAAACCATAAGCCAAACACTTTTATGAAAATAATCATTCATTTGAAACATGAATTCATCCCCCACATAATTGCTTGTACATCTAATTTCCTATGCTGATAGTTACAGCTGGACATTTGATTAAGAAAACTCATTAGAGAGGCTCAGTGATTGGAATATTACATCTGATATGAACGTTCAAGTAAAGAGAATGAATCTGTTTGAAACTGATGGCAAACATCTTTCTTTGGTTCCCTGAGGTATTGTGGGTTTGTGAGCTGTCTAGCTCAGCAGGGGGCCAGGGTTTGATGTAGACAGATTTGTAACTTCTTATATTTAAAAATGTTACTTTTTAAACTGTGTGGGTTTAATGAGAGGGAGGACTTTTAGCTCTTTTTTTTTCTAATAGGCCAAAATGGGAAGATATTGGCTAGGGACGTGTGATGATAGAGTCAAAGTAAATTGAATAAACTGGCTGAATGCTGTGTTAGACCATCATATGAAAGGGGACTTAAAACACTTTCTTCTGTTTACAGGAATAGACAATCTCTATGAGAGGGCTCTTCATATCCGCAAACTCCTTCTTACTTTGCCCAGGTCTGTCCTTATAGTGATGAGATACCTCTTCGCCTTCCTCAACCAGTAAGTGCTTTATAATTCCCCGAGGTACAGTATCTTTATCTGCCTTCCTCTGCTGGTATTGAAGTTCTTTGGGTTTATTCATACTTTATGTAGAATTTACATTTAAGCTCCATTTAGCACAAAATATGATCTTCTAATTGGCAGTGAAACTAGAAGGAATACACCAGGTTTCATTCAAATTAAAATTCCATTTGTCCAAACCTGAGTAGTAGTAGTAGTAAGAAGACAGATTAAAGTGTTGTCTGACATGGGGAGTGCAGGCTACACTATGTTACAGCATTGAAGCTGGTAACAACATAAGCTTATGAGAAAAATAACAAACTGTAACTGCATTAAAAATAGTTTATGTAATTTAAAAGCAGAATATTTTTTTAGTCCTTATCTCAAGCTGATTTCAATCTCCTGATGGTAAAAATTAACAGTGTATTCAAGCAGCTCAGGCACTACAAGCTACCTCTTTGATGCTAGGCACAGCTAGGCTGAAATTTTATGTTGCTGCTTCTATATTCTGCTAAAAGGGCGAGCGGTATAGAGGACATACATCCAGTGTGTAGGCTTTGACATAAAGTAGCTTGGTTCTCACATTGCAAAACACAAGCACCTGCTGGAAAGAGGGTTGTGTAAGAAAGGGAAAGTGGTGTTTGTGTCTTCATGATCCTAGAAAAACTTCTTCCTTTTCTTCATTCGGAAAATAGAAGACAGGTTGAGCAATTGCACTGTGTTTCATCCTCCAGTCTTTCACAGCCCTCTCTGGTTTTGCTGACCCTGGTATTTTCACTGAAAATTTTGCTTCTTGTGCACTTTGCCCTGATTCTAGCTGCCATATTGTATGTTTCTATTGTACCTGGTTTCATATTGCCTTTCTTCTCTTCCCCCCCCCCCCAAATTTGCCCTCTGCTGATTCATTCTGGAATGACCTTCCCCGTTTCATCCATCCTGTCTGTTCCAGGGGTCTTTGCAGCCAGGTTATGTGCGCGTGCCTGTATTTACAGCTGTTCCTGGTTCTTTTCTTCTAGTAATTTCTGAACCACTTTCAGGCAGTATTTTAAAGAGGGGCAGAGATCTAAAGTTTTATGAAAATAACCATTCCCTTGAAGCATGAATTCATCCCCCAGAAATGACAGTGTGCAAATGTCTTAAAGGCTTATGTCACAGCTTGTCCTCTACTTAGACATACAGATTGACCAGAGCTGTGAGGCTATACTTGTTACGCAGTCATGTTAACTACATCTGTGCTCTCCACAGGAATGCAATTCAGAAAGCAGGCTAACTCCCTTACTACCTCCAAATTGCTCTTGCTGCATCCGCAGGAAAAAACGTTCCCATAGTGTGACTTTCTGCAAATCCAATTCTGCTTTTCGCATGTGCAGTTATGCCTGCTTGGCCACATGAAGTCATCAGACCTCACAGCAGACCTCACCTGGTCTAGCCTCCGGCTCAAAGCTTCTAATGTTAGATCAAGCTGTTCTAGGCTTTCTCCAGTCCAGAACCACAAAGGGCAGAGAATCCACAGCCTCCCTGTGTTGCTTCCAGAAGGACAATTCAGTCTTCTTAAGTTATATAGCCAGTTGATGGAAGATGTGTCAAAGTCTGATGAAACATGATAGGCATGTATATCCTCTTAGCATCCAGTCCACTTGGGCCTCCAAGGATAACCACAATGAGATAGAAGCAGCAGTAGCTAATGCATTTTACATTAGCCCTTTAGGCTGGCATACACTAAACACAATAGTGTGGGAATACCTACACATACATGCTATAAATTCACTTTGTAATGTATATAGCCTCTTGAAAAAAATCCCCTTCTTGTTTTGTTGCTTTATGTGGGATTAAGTGTCAAGGAGAACAGGAAATCTCTAAATTGTAATGGAAAATGAAGTTTCTCCAGAATAAGGTTAGTCACAGAGGAAAAGACAATTTTTCTTGATTTTTCTATTACAACAGCCTTTCGCAGTACAGTGATGAAAACATGATGGATCCATACAACCTGGCCATTTGTTTTGGGCCAACCCTGATGCCTGTTCCAGACATACAAGACCAGGTGTCTTGTCAGGCACATGTGAACGAGATAATCAAAACTATCATCATCCATCATGAGGCTATTTTTCCAGATGTTAAAGAACTTGATGGCCCAGTGTATGAAAAATGTATGGCTGGAGATGACTACTGGTAAGTCAGAATACTGCCCTTCTATCTCTTTAACAAAATCATTAGGCTGGTTGTCTGGAAAACTCCTGTGATACGGAACTACTTTTGCACACAATAGAAGTATGAAGATAAATGAGAATAACATTCAGGTTCACATAGAAAAGTGTTAGCTATGAAAATAGATGAAGCAAAGGCAATCGTGATGAGGTTCCCTACGTTTTGTGGAGGAAGCTACCCTTGTGTTCAGCCAGGAATTCCACGTGTACTGTGTAGAGCACACAGGCAGGTAGGAAACTGGCCATGAACCACCTTAGTGAATTTCAGCTTGTGATGGCTTCCCTCTGCTCCCTTCTCCTCTGTCATGGTTTAACCCGGCAGGTAGTTAAGCACCACACGGCCACTCACTCCCCCTGTCCCGGTGGGATGGGGAAGAGAATAGGGAAAAAAAAAGTAAAATTCATGTGTTGGTGTAAAGACAGTTTAATAGTACAGAAACAGAAGGGGAAATGAGAAGAACATTAATAACAATAATAATTGTAGAAGAAATAGAATATACATAACAAGTGACATACAGTTGCTCAGTACCCCCAGACCAATGCACAACCAGCTCCCGAGCAGCAGCCTCCAGCCAGCTTTCCCCCCAGTTTATATACTGAGCATGACACCATATGGCATGGAATATCCCTTTGGTCAGTTGGGGTCAGCTGTCCTGCCTGTGTCCCCTCCCAGGTTCGTGGGCACCCACAGCCCACTCACTGGTGGGGTGGGGTGAGAGTAGCAGAAAATGCCATGACAGTGTGTAAGCACTGCTCTGCAACAGCTAGAACGTCGGTGTGTTATCAACATCATTCTCACACTAAAGCCAAAACAGAGCACTGTACTAGCTATTGGGAAGAAAATTAACTCTATCCCAGCCGAAGCCAGGACACTCTCCTAGCAACACACACATTCTTTTTATATAGGATTCAAAGGTTCTGGAAACTTCTTTATAACTGAAGATGCTGTTTGAAAGAGAGTGTGTAGGCTTCCTTCAGTAACCGTGTATTCATAAAATGTCATGAGAATTATGTTGCACGTAACTTTATAACATTACAAGAATAATTTTAAATAATCTCCTGTGGGTGGCATATTTTTGACGTGTGTTTCTCTGCTCAACCTTTTGTTTCCTTTCAGTGACAGCCCATACAGCGAACATGGTACATTAGAGGAGGTGGACCAGGATGCTAGTACAGAGCCCCATACCAGTGAAGACGGTATGTCTGTCACATTATTGTGCCTTTGACGGGACTAAGTTTAACAGGTGTTTCATGTGGGAGACCTTCCTCTCTTCCTCATTGTGCCTTATTTGAAAGAAAGGGATTTCAGTCCTGGTGTTCTGTAGCAAAGCCGTAATCTTTAATCTCTGTTTGTGTGCTTTTTCACTCTTGATTCATCTGTGTTTGACCAGCTGTTTCCTTCTTCTCTCCTGATTTGCAGTCACAGGAAGGGCAAGATAGAAACTCTTTCAGTCAGCACATACTATCTTCTGATATAATGTTCATTTTTAGAGACTCTTTACCTTTTGTCTGCAAAAACTAAACTTATCAACCGTGTCTTCAAGTATTTCAGCTAAGGGATGTTTGCCATTCAGTGGGCTCTATTTTGGTAAGAATTTAAAAACTGTTCCATCGAAAGGATTTATAACTACTGAAAAACATGTGTGTACTCCCTACAGTGAAACTTCTGAACAATAGTCATTTGCTATAAATATTAATCACATGCACTCTGACAGTTCTGAGTGCGGTAGATATGCATGGAAAAAAAATGGTGCCTCTCTGTTATATCAATTCTTCTTAGCCAGATTTCCTAAAGGGATATTTGACTGTGATATATTTCAGTTGGACCATCCTTCAGGTGTCCCTTCCAGTAGCTTCTGCCCAGTTTCATGCAAGGGTTACAGATGGAAAGAGGTGTCAAAATTATTAAATAACTACCATATTCTTGACAATTAGTAGCCATTTAGAGATGGAGGATTCAGAATAACGCTCCTGTAGAGAAGAGCTGCAGTGTGAGCTCACTGCATATATGGCCAGCAGGCAACCCAGACAGAGCAACCAGCACACGTGCACTTAACACCCTTAGTAAGCTTCCCCTTGTCCATCTTGAGGATGTGTGGAAGGAGGAAGAGGAAGAGACAGACAGAGGGAAGGGGAGGAAAAGAGCTACAGCAGAGAGGGGATTTATGGTTTTTTTTTAAAGGATCTCATAAGGGATGCTGGTTAGGAGCTGGGACGATTGCCATAGGCAAGGGGAACAGGAAGGTATATATATAGGAAACCTGGCTACACTGGTCCCATTGCACACAGAACAATGTATACAATAGTTCCACTCTAGCTGTACCCATCTGCTTTGTCACGTAGACAAGCTGTCAATGACAGATTGCTTGTCTCTTCCCCTTCACCACAGTGAGGAGGGGCAGGCACAGTCTATCACTGCAGATGTTTGGAGAAGAGGGACAATTGGGTGGGCAGGCATCACAGAGAGGGGGAAAAACTGAGGATAGAAGTCAGTGTTAATCTTCTGTTAATCTCATGGGTGTACACCCCACTCTTCTGCCTGGGGTGTATACCCATGCCTGCACCCACAGTAGGGAATACCAGCAGTTTTACAAGATAGCCTTTACATGATTCCTCTTGATCAGCTCTGTAGAGCTAAACCGTCCCTTATGCTACAGCAGAGCTTCACTAAATGGTGTGAACAAACTCATAATTGCACTTTATTGTCCCCAGATAGTATAGCTATACTATATAAGACCTCCTTCTTCTATTGGACATATGAAGCAAGAGTGGAAGCTGAAGAAGTGTCTTCATCAGGGACTGTAATGACAGGACAAAGGTTCAAACTTAAACAAGGGAAGTTCAGGTTAGATATAAGGAAGAAATTTTTTACTATGAGGGTAGTGGGGCACTGGAACAGGTTGCCCAAAGAACCCAATTTTTCCCATGTATATGGCTTTGTATTATAATAGCCTATTTTTCTAATGTAGGTTACAGGCTTTAGATTAAATGTATTCACCACCTCTTTGCACATATATTCATGTGTTTGTCCTTTGGACAATTCCTTTTAAAAAATGTTCTTGACACCAGATATGAGAATAGGTGAGAATTTTTCAGTTTCCGTATTGAATTCCATGAGAGTCACTGACTGACCTGTGGTGGACAAAAAAAAAAGCTTCTACCAAAGGGTCTGGAGTATTTTGGGGGTTTAATGGGGTTGATTCATTGATTATAAGCTGGATGCATCACTGACAGCTGTATGTGGAGACAGAGAAGGGGAAGCACAGCACTGATGCTATATTGATCAGACACACAGAAACATGACATAGACACATGGTGCTAACATATTTCCCTCTGTTAGGAGACAGAAGAAGTAGATTCTATAAAGGGGGCGTATGTTGAAAATCTGATTAGTTTAATGCTAAAATGTTGTATACATACACAAGACCAAGCAGCTAACCCATAGGAATTACAGGGTTATTGAAATATAATCCTATGATCAAAGTGAATCCTATGATCGAAGCTATGATCAAAAGCGAAAGGATTTATTTTTCTACTTTAGTTATCGTTGTTACAAGAATTACTTGCTTTATAAAGTTAAACTACAAATGAAACTCTCTGTGCCTACTAGAATAAACCCATTGTCTAGTTACAGTTTAGAAAACAACAAGACTTTTTAAAAATTAAAAATTAAATTATGTCTGCGGAGGTAAAATCTGGTAGTTTGGGGTAAAGAAGGCTGGAGCTTATAATTGAGCATATAAATACTTCATAATTGCTCAATTTTAAGCATATAAGTTGCCCTTTTTTCCGCCTAAGCTTACTGTTGTTTGTATAATTCTATTGATCACTAGAAAGGGAAAAGGGAAGGAGAAGGACACATATTTTATGCAGTGTTTTCAGTCTTCTTTAAATGTGCAGAAAGTATCCCTATTGAGGAAAACACGTAAGTTTCTTCTTTCTCCTAAATCTGGAAATTACATTTAATGTGATGTTCAGAACATTTGTACTGAAGCTGAGGCACAAAAAAATGTGTTATTTTACTACAGAAGAACCTTTATGTGAAAGTGCCTCTGTAGGAAAGATTCAGAGGATATTGTTTATGTTTTGTTGAAGCAGTTTTTAGCATATTTCCTTTAACTTCGATTTGTTGGACATTTTTTATTCTTGTTGGAGGCATATGGAAAAGGGTGGCTAGGTTTGTTTTCAAAGGAAGTAAGAGGGAATTTTCTGAGGAAGTTAAATAGATGGGTTTCTCCTGGGAAAACATACATACAATTAATATCACACTGTTCATAGATATCTCATAAACACAGGGTAAAAACTGAGATGGTAGTTCTGCTGGAAACAAAAATTACAGGGACACATAAGACTGTTTGTTGTTTTGTCCCCAACACACAGTAATTTTCCCACTTTTCAGTAGTACATGCATGCTGTGATCACTATTTTGCCAAATTTTGTTCTGTCAACACCTTGCAACATTTCCTTGCTTTTGCTGTTCCCCAGTTAGAGAACTGCTGTCCTGAAGACAGGACTTTGAAATTGCAAAGCCACTGTTCTCTGATGGGGTGCAGAAGGGGGATAAAGACATTGGGAGATAGTGTCTTCCCAGGACATACTCTATTCCCAACAGCCAGGGTACCTATGGGAGAAGTGAGCAAGAGCAGAGCAACCCACCCCCCTCACCCCCACCCAAAAAAGAAGTGCAGGGGATGGTCTCCCCTCTTTTCCTTAGCTCCTTGTGCCTTGAGGCAGGGAGGGCAGCGCTGCGCCACTTCAGTGCCACCACCCCTGTAGGAAGGTTAGTGCTACATCTGGCACTCCAATCCCAAAATTAAAATTAGCACTTAAGTTTCTTCTGCCCTTTCTGCTTTTCCAAGCAGCAGAAGCTTTTCCCACAGTTCTTCAGTTTGTCCCAATTTTTCACTTCCGTAGCATCGCCTGAGTCACTAGAGGTGATAGCTGGTGAGATACTGTATGTCATCAAATGCCCCCAGATATGGACAGAGCAGTGCAATTACATTGCCCTCCAAGCTGTCAATTTTACTGTTAGACATTCAGTACCACACAGATTTTGGGTTACAGATCCCAAGTTTAGCTTTCGTCACCTTTTTTGTAAATGCTTGTCTGTCATTTAGTAAACCTTGATTATTAAATGGCTTAACTTTTCAAAATGCATTTATTTCTAGAAGTAACTGTCACAGTACTTTGGTTTTAACTATTAAGGTTTGACCTGTAACAAGGTGAATTACTGTTTAAGTACAGTCTCAGTACTGTTAGCTGTAGGAAAGCTCTCTCCACGTAAAAGCAGCATTCAAGCAAAGAAAATGTCTCTTTCAAAATAGTAAATTCTGCCTGAACTTACTTTTGCCTCTATTAAGAAAACTGTGTGAGACCTATTGGGCACTTCTCCCTGAGGAGCTGGGATTTCTTACTCAGGCAATCTAACAAGCATGTCTCAGAAGTCACATCCATTATGGGTACATTACCAATTCATACAGCTGATTCCAGTGGGGCAGACCTCTGAGAAAGTGTGTGTGAGTCTTCCAGGAGATGGAAGGATACAAAAAAACAGATTCCCATCATGCACCAGACTTAGATTAGTGTAATTCCACTGAGGGAGATAAAACTATTTCTAGTTCAGTCCATTAATTTGTAAATAGAAAGACCTGTATACTCAAATATGGAATACTAGATAGTCTGTTGAAATTAGCAGAGGAATGGGAAATCCCATAGATAATCAGTGTAGGGATTTATCAATCAATCCAGTGCCCTTGGCCATTATCAGTTAACTTCAGAGAATGTCAAAGGAAAATATGTACAGGAAATCTGGGATTTTCCTACTGGCTGTAAAGGTTTTTTTGTTCAGCTGTGGTTTCTTTCATTTTAAAGTATTACCAGTTAGTGAGTGACTGGCTCTCTGAAAGCTGGGAGCTTTTGCTTCTGAATTCTTGACCCACTCTT